GTTTTTCCTTTTGAGTGATTGCGACTATGGATCTCTGTCTTCTAGCCAGTTAGTTAACTCCCTGTTTTCCGAATTTCCTGGCAAAGATGAGTGAGTACTTCCAGTGGTTCACCTGCTTGTTGACACATTTCTATAGCTATTCCATCAATCCCCGGAGCCTGGGTTTTGGCTAATTCTTCCAGTGCAACTTGGATTTCTTCCTTCAGTAACATTGGTTATTGTTCATGTGCTGCCTCCTGAAATGGTTGAATGTTGGCTAGTTCTTTTTGATCGTGTAACTTGGTGTCCTTTTTCCATCTTCCCTGGATGCTCCCTGCATCAATTAATATTGTGTCCATAGAATATTTCTATATTGCAACTTGAGGTTGAATTTCCCTTGATTTGTTTCAGTTTGACTTATACTAAGGTTGTTCTTCATTTATCGTATTCTAACCCTTGGTCTTTGCACATTTCATTATTATATTTAACCTTGCTTCCTAGAGCTGCCATTTGAAATTTTCTCTATAGCTCACTGACTTCATCATCTCTTCTATTTTCTTAGCTACCCTATGATTTAAAGCAAGTTTCGGAGTCTCTTCTGACATCCGCTTTCATCTTTTGCTCTCCTTCCTGTCTTTTTAATGACCCTCTGCTTTTTTTATGAATGATGTTCTCAATGTCATCTCACAGCTCACCAGGGCTTCTGTCATTAGTGTTCAACGCAGCAAATCTGTTCTTGAGATGTCCTTGACAGTCAGATGCAATAGACTCTAGGTCATATTTTATCTCTCATGAACTTGCTTTAATGTTTTTTCATCTTCTATCTGAACTCGCATATGACCAATTCATGGTTTGTTCCACAGTCAGTCTAGTTCTAGCTTCTGATATCGAGATTCTCCAACATCTCTTCCCACAGATGTAGTCAATGGTTTCCTGCTATTCCAGCTGGAGAAGTCCATGTGTATAATCAAATTTTTTGTTGTTATTTAAAAGGTATCTGCTATGAATACGTCCTTGGTCTTTCAAAATTCTATCATGCAATTTCCAGTTTCATTTCTATCACCATGGCCATATTTTTGAGTTGCTGCCTCTGAAACCCATGCGGGTTGCTCTTCTCTGTCCTGTAGGGCCGCTGTGTCTCCGAAGTGACTAGCGGGTTTGTTTTTTATTTGGTTCCTTCCTCGTTGTGTCCACCTTTTGTAGTACAATTTACAATAATGTTCTACGCATCTTGATTGCATGTTGGAACAATTTCAGACTGAAGATATTGCTAGAACTCTTCCTTTTAATCAACCATTCGCTTTTGTTGCCTGAGCATACATTTGAATAATAGTTGTAACAACTGGATTTCCTTGAAGGGGGATACATGTAATCTCATCACAGAGAGCATCGTACTTCCAGATGGATCTCGAAATACCCCTTTTGAGAATGAACATAATGTCCTTCCTTTTGATTGTGCCACTACTCACACAGTAAACGGTATAATTCTCTGTTTCAAAATGGCTAATACCAGTCCATTTCAGGTCGCTTACACCTAGGATACAGATATTTATGTGTTCCATATTACTTTTCTCAACTTCTGATTTTTCTCGATTTATACATTCTGTATTCTAAGGTCTGCTTATTCATAATTTTTTACGGCTGTTTCATCTTATAGTGGTTTGTGCCCCACCAGCAAATGAAGAGCTTGAATGCTCCCCTCCCATAGACTGTACTCCATCCATGTCAGCGTGGGTGACGAGTTGAGAAACAGCTCCCCATCCATCACATTCTGAGTGTCTTCTCCCCCAAGGGACCCATTCTCTGGCACTGTCTCTGTGTCATTGGCTTTCATTCATTCAGGCCTCAGTATCTGAGAGTGCTTCCATGATGTGTCTATGGTTTTCATCTGCTGCTTCCTGCTAAGTGGGCAGATAAGTCCTTCCTTCCTCATACTCCGTTCTTAGTATGGAAGCGCCACTGAAACTTGTTCACTGTGGGTGATCCTACTGGCATTTAAAATGCCAGTGGTGCAGCTTCCAGCATCACAGCAACACACAAGCCACCCCAGTATCACAAACTGACAGATAAGTAGTGGAACTTGTAAAAAAGTACATTCTATGGAAATATAAATTAATAGGAGGAGCTGCAGAAAGTTGATGGGAAAGAGAATTTAAAATGATTGAATTTTCATGAGTTATTGAAGCTTCCTTTAAAATTATACATTTTCAATCATGTATATTTTACTCAAATTTATGAATGAGACATTATAACATAATAATGGCCTTAAGAACGTAAGTAGGATAAAAAGAGATGATGATGCAGATAAAAACACTGTTTAAATCTTCATGAATTTAAGAAAAGTGATATATAAAAGCAAAGAGTGGTAATAACAAATGTGAAAAAGCAGTTTCA